ATTTTTAATAGTAATAGTTCCTGTTCACTCTGGATTGTCAAATTTGAATCACTTGTGCCAAAAAAAATTTGCCTGCTAATTCTCCCTGCGGTACAACAGCTCTTGTCTGTCTTCTCCCATCAAGACTGAGTACATTTCTGAGACTACAAATTCACGTCTACGTTAATCCAAACAAAATAAACATAGTAAGATACACTGATTGCCAAAAATGATTTCACATCACAAGGAATTGATTTCTGAATTAAGTAACTGGTCGCTACCATCACTACCATATAATCTACCTAAGCAGATTATAGTGACACATTAAGGACACACACACAGCAACGAAGAATTCACGTGCGGCTGTGAAGATGCTCACCTGAGGCTGGGGCTGCTACAGTGCAGTCGCCAAGCTGAGTTTTCAGTGGAGGCACGATGATGGTGCGGGTGCCAGCGCCATCCCCCACGACTCTGCCGGGCCCCTCCACAAGGGGTCCACTATTGCCCCGGAGAGCACCCAGGGTATCAGTGGAATATGGGCTGCTCAAGGAAGAATCAGAGTCCGGAGAGTCGTTGACAGTGACATAACTGATGACGTTAGACCTCGCCTTCAGGCCCGAGCTGAGGAGAATACAACACATGAAAATTCAACCCCCTTTTAGCAATGTTTCTTTGATGATCTCTGGTCTCCCATGATGACAAGGATGACGACGGCGACAGAATAATACTAGCGGCGGCGGACTTCTCAGTGCTTATTATGCATCAGGCACTATTCTTACACTACGCATAGGTCTCACCAAATCCTCACAACACTTCTGTGAAGTAGGTACTATCACCCCCATTTTGTAGATGAGGAAGCTGAAGCACAGAGAGATTAAGACACTCAGCCAAGGTCACACAGGTGGTTAAGTGGTGAAGACAGGATTCAAGCCGGGACAGAATGCTGCCAGATACACAGCTCTAACAACTCTTCCACGTTGCCGCTCAGCCATTTCCACTCACAGTCATTTCAGTAGTATTCCCCCTATCATCCTGCTAGACTATATAAATGGTTCCTTAGTATGTCTAATCAAACTTCTCGCCATACTTTTTTTTTTTTAAATGTTCCTTCACAAACGGAACTCCATCTTCCTAACTTTAATTTTTCCTGATTTTAAAAGAGACTTGGCTCCAGTCAAAGCAATCCTGCTGGTTATACAACTTTTGCCACTCCATGGTCACTTTTCCTCACTGGAAAGTTCACCTTTTCTCTTCCCCAAATCCATTCAGAAACCACTTGCAATACTTAGTTTCAAGTCTACATCCCATTTGTAAATACCATTTTGTAACTGTAAATATCATTTGTAAATAGTTCTTTTGAAGTACTTCATTCTAAATCTGCTCTTTCAGGTCATTAAACTTCATTTATATATAACTCTGCAAAGTCTTCTCAGCTACTGTCATATGTGAATCCTACCTCCTCAGGTAAATGTGGGGTTATTCCCTCTCCTTTATGCCTAGGACCAAAGGTCCAGGGAAGAATATAACACAGAACAATCAAAGCAATTAACTATGTTCCCACTAAGAGAGAGGTGTATGTAACAGTTCTTAAATGTATCCACTCTCTCTTGGTTAACTGCCCAGTTAAGAACTTGGATTAAGGTGCTGAAATAAGAGGAAATTATCTGGTATTTACATTCCTCAACTTTCAGACCATACTTAAAGTTGCACCTCTTCCAAAGAGGCCTCCTCCTATCTACTAACTTTTCCAATTAACTATTGTTTTTATGTGCTTCTGCTATGGCATCTATTTTCAGACTCTAAAGGTCCTTAAAGGCAGGGAATCATGTCTGTGGTATAATGTGCATTCCAAGCCAAAGCAGCTAAATATTAAGCAACTTAATATCCCCCTTCTAGGGAATGTATCTGAAAAGACTGATTTCATTGCTCAGTCATGGAAACTTGAGTGTTCTGACTCACGCATCCAAGGCCACGCTTCCAAAATACCATTTTTCAGTCCTTCCTTTCAGAGCCCAAACTGGACCACTTGCCTGAAACCAAGAGTCTAAGATGAAGGTTAGGAGCCACCGAGCCAAGGAGCCATCCACCTGTCTTACCTACTGGGCTTGTATTTGTTGTCCTCCTCCTCATCAGTGTCACTGCGGATGGTGATGACACTCACAGGAGGGCTGGGAGTATCTGGAATGATGATTGGCTGATGCTGATCTGGGACAGGGACTAGGGAATTATAAGAAGATGTGGTACGGAGAGGACTGCTCCCAACCAGAGAATAGACTTGAGAAGGCAGAACATCCAGAGAAGACCTGTAGAAAAAGGTCACAAAAAAGACCGTTCAGTCCTCGGTCCCCACAACTATCCATCTTTTCCCCCAGAACTCTTCCCAACTTGTTCTTTGATTCCTTTTTACCTAACCATTAAGTCAATACAACACTTAACTATAGAAGTTCCAATAAAAACTAAACGAACCGCTCTAGCCAGGGTTTCCACCAGGGACAAGAACCCTAAAATACAACATAAATTTTATTTTTGTATGCCCTTTATTCCACGGTTAAATTTCCCTCCGTAATGGCGGCAGGAAAACAAACACATTGGCCTAAAGATGGCCGGGATTCAAAGTGGCAGCAGAGAGAAAGGATTTGCATAACCAGGACACACCTGGCATGCATGTCCAAGTGAAAAGGTTAGCTCAATTCGGCAGCTACTCGCTGCTTCACACCAAAAGGGTCTATACCACGGCACTTTAAATGCTGGCGACATCTCTGTCAAACTGGCAGCTTTAACTACCAGCTCTAACAGAGACTTACTTAGAAGAGACTGGAGCACACTGCTTATTCTTCTTTGAAGGGAGAGAACTGGATTGTTGTTGTCTGACAACATGGGCAACACCAACATTCAGGGGCTGAGCAGTGGCCAGTGTCACGTGGTTAGTCAGCAAGGAGGGCTGCTGCATGATAGTGCTGTACTGGTTGCCATGAGAGTGGGCGTTCCTGTACCAACAGAAAGACACAGAGAAGACTGAATGCCTAAACCGCTGGGAAATTAGGACCAAACAGGTATTAAAAGCAATTAAAACAACCAAACAGAGCTGCATTTTATTTTTTAAGTTGGGCACCTGGATGACAAGGCTGTAAGTTTTCATTGCATGGTTTCTAATGCCTAAGCCTTTCTTTAAATCCCAAATAAATGATTCCTGATCTCAGAATCTATTGTTTCCCTATATTCCAAGTTTTCTCATTACTCCATCTCCTAGCCCGATCAGGGTTTTCTTAAAGAATCTGAAACACAGATACAGCTCCCCTTTCCTTTATATTCTTCCCAGTCTGACCAAACCATCAAGCACTCCTACCCTAGGGGATCTGCCCTTGCACATCTCCCAGAGAGGAACACAGGGTACTTGCCTCCAGTCTGTGAGCTGCTGGCCACTGCCCATGGCCTCTGGAATCACTGCTGTGGGCTGGACAGAGTTGTGCAGAGCTACCCCAGGCAACTGTTGCCAAGTTGAAGGGAGGAGAATTTGTTGGGTTCCTCCAGGCCAAGCCTGCTGTAAGGAAAACACACACAAAAAGGTCCAGACTTGACTCATTCTTGGCTTTTTCTTTTGTTTTTCAGATGAAAGAAAAATTCATATCTTAAAAGAAGTTGCTTGTAGATTGTTAACTTGCAGAGATCAAAAAGAAAAGTCAGAGGGGCTCAAAGTTACAAGTCTTATGAACAGGGAAAGAGAATATGCTGCTTTTTCTCGGCCACCTCTGTAACATGACCACCAGGGTATTAAAGAAAAGAAGATCCCTGTGGTTAAGAGTTTCTCTCTTATACTGCAGAGTCAAAGAGTCTGAAAAGTTCAGAGGTAAGCTCTGGTTAAATGATGGAGTATCATTTTTGCAACGATTCTAAAAATACACCTAGAAAGAGTGAAGACAGCTCCCTTGAGATTAAAAATAGGAATTTTAAAATTGAAGTGCCAATCAGTTAAGACATCAGGTCAATTCAACCCATAAAACAAAGGGGAGAATTGTGCCTTTTTAAAAGGGTAGAACTTGGAACATGGAGACAGATGTGGATGACCAAAGGCCAAAATCCTTTGGCAAACAAGCGTATGCCAGTAAGAGAAAGCTAACTTCATCATATACAGCCATATGATAGAATTAAATAAGGCAGTAAGTAAAATATTTCCAAAATAGATGCAGGGAGCACCATATTTTGTTTTTAATAGTTACCTAAAATATAATGTTTAACGTATCATTTATAGAAACATACTTCAACATAAAAACTAATCACTACGTTTCTAGTTTTTAACAAGCACTTGCAATAGACAGCAACAAATATGTTTTCTAACTTTTTACAGAAATTCTGGCATTTTCTGAAAAAATGGGAACAGATTTGAAAGTTTCCTTTTTAAACTTAAATTCTACAGTACAATCACCTACAATGCTTGGGTACATATGGTTCTTTCTTGAATTTCAAACTGCAAGGCCATCAACACACTGTTTTAAAAATATTTCTGCAAGTAACAGATCCACTTGTTACAAATACCGGTTCCAAACAAGAAGCCTTCAAAGCAGAGAAACTGCAAACACGTCTGCTACCATAAGCAGAATTTAAAACAAAATGAAACAAAACAAAAAATAAGAGAAGTATGTTAAGTCACACCATGCGTCTTTCCATAAGCCAACACCTGCACAAGACAAAGCATGTAGTTTAATACAGAGCAAGAAATAACATTCCAACGTGAGGCAGAAATCTGGCGTTCCAAGCGACGAACTGTTTTGACAGAGGAAGAACAAAAATATGCAAAGCTTAGCAAATGACTAGTGCAAACTTAACAAAAGCAGCAAAGGAGAAGTATCAACTAACATTCTCAAAACTACAGGTGAGCAAGTTAAAACCAGTGGCTTGGATCAATCAAGTTGGAAATATATCTGACTCCCTTGCACTCAGGTTTTATGCTCATGATACAATTAATTTGGAGGTGACAAAGGCTTTTAAACTAAAAACCAAACAAATTCCAACAACCAAAGTATGTTTCTGGAAGTGTTTACACTCAACATGAGTCCTTGAGAGACAACAAGGGCAATTTTTTAAAAGCCCCTTCAAAAGACGTAGATATCAGTATTCAAATAGTATCCGTAAGGTTTTCAAATGCTTACCTAATTTTAAATTTTTAAATAATGAAATGCTGGTTGTCCAATAAACAATTCTAACTCCCCCAAATAAACCAAAACACATCCAAAGACCACCCTGAAGGGTACAAATCCTGAAATACACCTCGAGGTCCTATTTGTTTTTTCTATCTCTAAGCCCCATACTATTACATTTGCTGCTGTACTTAGTAACTTTTCCCCAGGACTTTTAGTGACAAAGGTATTGTATTTGCATAAGGGTTTTCGGCCATATTTTCATCTCTGTATAAAGACCTATTGGTAAAGTCATTAATTTCTCCATAAACCCCTAAAAATGAGTTCACGTTTTATCTCAACCAACAAATGAAATATGATCTAAAAAGATTCTAAAGGGACCATCTTTAAATGGAAGATGTAAGCTGCCACTGATCATGAGTGGCAGAGTTATCTTCACATGTTCTTAGAAGAAAAGTTAACATCAACTGATAAAGCAGTAAAATAGGAGCATCTTTAACATTTCTACATGCACAAAAATTTTCGAAGCTTAAAATAGCAAATAAAGAAGGAAGCTAACTTTCCAAGGAGTTCAAATTTTGGCCATCCGGATACCTGCAGCAGAGCCAAACTAAAGGCCATTTCCTTTATTCTCAAGGATCAGAGGGTAAAAGGGCAGAAAACAGATACAGTGTTGAAGCTCTTCTGAGGCTACACCAAGAGCTTTTATCACACTAGCTGGCAAAGAAGAATAAAGGGATCTGGCTCCTTACAGAGTCACACTGAATATCAGAGTCAAACAGTGCTTCAGCAAATGTTGGGGAGGAAAACAATGAGACATTAAAGATGTAGCAAGAACACAGCCACAAGATGGCACATGCTTCCATGCCCTCTGCAAAGACTAAGTTAAAAAAAAACTTTTTTTTGAAAAATGAGAAAACCAGAAGGAAACAGAACAAAAACAAACAGGAAAAAATAAAAAAGAAAGAAACCAAAGAAACTCCGTTAGTAACACAATCAAGTGAGGGGAATTACCAGTACAGCGGCAGTCTGTTCAACCAGCGCCGGCCGGCCGGCTGCGCAGCTCAGAGTAAAGGGCACCGCATACTGCGGTGTGATGGTGGCTACTTGAGGGTGGAGAGTTGCTACCATTAGTGGTGTACAGCTTCCCTGCAACGCAGATTAGGCAGGTGAGTGAAACAAACACGGAGGCAGGTTATCTGGATTCAGAAGGGTTCTCATTCCCCCCAAGATATTACCAACAAGTAGGAATTTCATATCACCTAAAATGCACGTAAAAACACAGCTTTCCCCTTCAACTCTGCACGGCATCAGCCCACTAGGTCAAATGTCAAGGGCCTAAGGCAATCAAATATAGGAATCCTTCTTGGGCCAGATTCAGAGGATCGGCTCTACAAAACTCAGTTAACAAAGGCATGTATTAAGAATTCCTCTTCCTCCTACTCCCAAAAGAAGAGTTTTGGGCTTCCAAATTTCCTCTGTGTCACGGGCCACAAACATTTATGCACAGAACTGAAAATACAGTATCTGTTGCTTATAAGAGTCTTTCATGATTTTCTTGCCCATCTTAGTTGCATGTCCTATGGCAGGTAGAAAGCTTTAAGGCTTTCTATAGCTCAGTTAAACACACAGAGTGAAGGAATATAATACTTGAAGAGACATCCTGATACGATCCAGCCTCTCTGTCATGGTATCATTCTGAAAGAGTGAGCAAAGGGGACACTAAAGGGAACAAATGGGGAACACTTTATCTTTAGAATCAAAATGCTGTTACATGTGTATAAAAAATTAACTACATCCCACAAAGTCTGAGTAAATTTACTCAAAACACAATTTCTCAAGGTTTGGGTATTTATCCTATAAGTCTAAGGAAGACACTGTCAGACATGCAACAGTGTTAGGAATGAGCAATCATTTCTCTATAGATGTTTCCTTTTAAGTCCACTGAATCATAACCAAGAAAGATCTTACAGTCAAAGCAAATACCATCTTCTAGGACAAAATATCTGCATCTCAGCAGCGCTTCCGCAATACTGAGTATCCAAGCTGCTATGGCTTTTACCTGTGTCAGAACTCCTGACTGTATCTGCAGTGGCTGAGCAGCTGGAGCCTGGGGTACAATCGGCACAGCATTATCCATCCTCACAGGGAATCCAGAATGCTTGGTTGTTGCTTGTAGTCCAGCTGTAGAAAACAACACCACAGTTAAATTGCTTTGCTAGGTCTGTGGTTTGCTTACGGTTTTTTTGTTTTTAGCTTTTCTGTTCAAACCATCCACCACCCAGGATAGTTCTAGACATGTGACATAGGAATTTCACAGAAGTCTAGGGACTTAAGAAAAGGGAGACTGGTTTGGCTCTCTCAGGTTAAATTCATGGGAAGATGTTTGATACAAGAAGGGATGGTTTAAGGGAATTAAAAAGAAACTTTTTTATGCTACAACACTTAAAATATAACACCCATCCCATTCCCATTAATAGCATATGCAAAAGCAAACAAACAAAAAGCCTAAACTTACTAAGTTACATTCACCTTTTAATCCATTAGGGGGGAAAAAAACTTGTATTTTTTACATGCAATCTATTAAAAGCAAAGACTTAAAATAATAACTTTTGGTTAATTATGACTCTTAGTTAAGAAAAAATTATCATTATTTATCATCTAAGTTACCCTTTCAGAATATTTTAAGATGTTTTACCCTACTCCTCAAAAAATTCACAATTTAGTTACACATTTTATCTTTTTTTTTTTTTTAAGATTTTTTATTTATTTATTTGAGAGAGAATGAGAGATAGAGAGCACGAGAGGGAAGAGGGTCAGAGGGAGAAGCAGACTTCCTGCTGAGCAGGGAGCCCGATGCGGGACTCGATCCCAGGACTCCAGGATCATGACCTGAGCCGAAGGCAGTCGCTTAACCAACTGAGCCACCCAGGCGCCCCACATTTTATCTTTAGTATGTGAACTGAAGAAATTATAACCCAGGATAAAAATATTTAAAAAATAGGTATTTTGGTTTACAGAAACACTTTTTTTCTACTTATTTTAGGAATCTGCCTTTGCCATTGACAGCCTTCTCTTTTACAACTAATGCACAGCTAATTTTTGCTGCCTTGCTCTGGGCACAAATGCTGAATGAATGTTTCCTCCAAATGGGAACTTCTTATTCTGGGGAAAAAAGGGGCTCAAGACAGTTCTCCCTTTTGCCAAGAGTCCAGAAGAGAGACTTCAAAACTTTCTTTTAAACTTGCCCTATCAAAACCTTCAATGTGGAGAATTTAAGTTTCTATTACCCACTAACAGAAGTTTCTCTAATTCACTAATGACTGAAGTTTTGTTAAGTGGGACACAAACATTTTATTTTAATTAGAATACTTCTTCAGTGATACTTTCTAAGCTATCACCAACTAATTTCTCTTAATATTACTACCAAAAAGCATAACTCCTCAACTCTAACACTGTGGTTTTCAGCAAGTCCTCCAATTTTCCATTTCAGTGATTTACAAGTATTTTAGCAGTAAGATGTCATACTGGAAAACACAATCCAGAAATACATGAAGTAAGAGAGACTAGTAAAATTGGAATTAAAATACTATAATAACTTTTTTAAAAAGTGCTACTTATATAAAAATAAAAGGTAACACAAATCCAGATATCCAGATTAAAAAAAAAAAATCTGCCAGCCGTTCTTCATAAGGCAATGCTAGCTAATAAAATAGCTAAGCAACATCAAAATTCTTGTCTAAATGCCCAGGACTCATGGCCAACTACAAGACAACATTATTGTAATAGTCTCCTAGAAATGGGCAGGAACAAAGGGCAAAGGCAAGTAAAATTTAGGAAGAAATGTTCATGATAGAAGTTCACTTATACATTCCAAGATAATAAAGTAAAAGGGGACAAAATTACAAAATGATAGTTACCACTGAGTAAAATGTGTCTCTATTTTGGTCAACTGGAATAGTACAGAAAGTACTATTTATAGTACTGACCTACAAATGTAACTAAATAAGCATTAGATTGCTTTCATAATTTAGGCTAAGCCACACCAGTTAAGCTATTTACACTTGCTTCTTCAGGAAACTACAAGTGGAAAAAAAGAATTAACAAAGGCAACACTTTTGGAAGGTTCTCCCTGAGCCCTGAACTAGGAAATGATTCAAACTTTGATTTTTGTTGAATACAACCCATTAAATAAAAAACCATGGAACTATGGAAAGAACTGTCTAATTGATGAGGGTCAATTTTCTTCTAAGTATAGTATCTTGTAAAAAAACAGATGGTGAAAGAAAAGGAGGCAACCTGGAATAGAAGACTGCTGGGCAGAAACCAGCATATGGCTGCGGCTGGCAAACCACTGACAACCTTTATAGCTGAGTTTAAATACTAAGAAGTGGTACTGCATGTTTCAAAACCCCACCGCCTGGATTCAAACCCCAGTTCTAGCACTAACTAGTTATTAAGACTTTGGGCAGATGAGAGAATCAGGTTCAATTTTCTCATCTATAATGGGATATAATGACATCAGGCATAATGGCATTACCCACTTCCTAGGGTTGTTTGTTGAGGATGAATTAATACATGTACAAACAGAACATTATCTGGCATGTAGTAATACATATCAGCTATTTTCATCCTCATTAACTTAAAAACTCCCTTTTGTTTGGAAATTATATAATTTGCTCTAACTCCTCAGGTTATTCAGACTTCCTAAATAGAAAAAAATTTCCAAAACTTATAGCTAATTACAGCAAAAGAATTACACCACTTTTCCCCTCTACACTGAGTCTACATTTTGTTTTACTAAGGGAACCAAAAAGTCCTGCTTCATCTTATAAATATCATCTGAGAAGCAGCAGAAGACTTCAGAGTCCCACATCTGAAAACTGTTCCCGTGAGACTCACTTTGGAAAAGGTGAGGGGGAGGAGGGTGGCTAGTCTGCTAAATTCAGTAGAAGAATCACTCGACATACGACAACCCAAAGTATAGAATTTACTATTATGTAGCATATGCAGAAAATTATTTGGTAAGTTAGGCTAAATATGCATTTACGGGTTTGGTATCTGCTCCTCCGCTCTCCCTGTGGTCTCTCCCTGGTTTACATCGCTATCGCTCTCCTGTCCTCCCGGTAATCTCTCAGTTTCCCCTAGCCCCTCTTTTCCTTCTGCTTGCTCCGACTCTGTCAGAAACCAAACAAACAAAAGAGTCACAGTCAATAAGTAACTTAAGTAAAAAGATAAAAATGCTACCTGCTTCTACTGTAAAGTACTATGACGAGCCTGAATCCTGATTTATTACCACAGGGTACTGACAACGACTTTCTGTTGGGAAAGTCAAGTGTGTTGTCAGAAAATATCCTTAAAATAATTTAACCTTTTATATGGCTCACCTTATCAATAAACACATTTCCCATATTTCAGAAAAAAAAGAACAGGACAGACTAAATTACAGAACAATAATGAAAAAAATGAGGAAGGATGGGAATGTGAACATTTAAATTTTATTGCAACACATGGGGTCAGAGCCTCTTTCTTCAGCTATTCTGTTCCTCTGCTGATAGGAGTTTGAAGGAACAATATGATTCATAAGCTGAAGCAGATAAACTTAATGCACTCCCCATACAAGTACCTCCGCTTGTAGAATTTTTCAGTTCAATAAATAATAATTTTTATTTCTGAATGTAACTCATGAGGTTTCCATATTCTTAAGCATAATTTTTACATTGTAGAATAAAATTACCTTTTATTTGGAATGCTAATTTTAATAGTGGAATGATAAAGGAAATAAGATTCAATATAGAATTTCTGTTTACAACAAATTTCTTTAAGCTTAATATTTCTGCATATTGAGAGATACATACTTAAACAAGATATAGGACATTGGTACAAGGTCTCAGTGGGCAAGAAATTGATATCAGGGCAGTTCAAATAAGAGAAGTTAATTGAACGCCCATAATGTGTCAGACAGTACCATAATTAGATACATAATCAATGTAAAAAGGGTAAATCCACTTTGTTAATTTCAGTTATCTTCATATTCAGAGGCAGAGTTTAAACTTGTCAGAGATCAAAACTAAACAACTAGATACCTACTAAGGAACTGCCTAAAGCAAAATCTGTGGCTCTGATATGATATCATTTGATACAGGAGTTTCCCCACTTACTCTGAAAAGCAGGTGGACATACTATAAATGTTTGTTGGAACGGATCTGTCTGAGTGCAAATTTGGGTGGTTCCAGGCTGCAAGGACACGCCCTGCTGGGCGACTCCAGGAACTGGTGCTGCAGACGATGGGTACAAAGCCGACTGGTAGTTTAGCAGTGAGACATCTGAATTAGCCAGGGAAAGAGTAGCAGCTGCTGCAGTAGAACTGGAAGCTAGAACACTGGCCTAAAAACAAAAGGATTATAGCTGTATACTGGCATAAAGTGGAAATAACAGTATTTTTACACATGCAGAATCTACCCAGAAAAACTTAAAGTTTTAAAATGTAGTATTAACTGTCCCTGAAATAACTCTCTGCTTAAGAAATCTTCCCAATCTCTACATTTAAGGCATACTATAAGGTTGAATAAGAAAACACAGAATAAAAAACAGTCCTGTACTGACTGAGGACAGCCTCAAATAAACCCTTACCTCTTCCTTCTGTACAAAAAAAGTTGCTGGATGTGAAATACCACCAAATCTCCTTTTAAAAGTAGACCTAACTAAGAAATTAGGAAGCTCACATCTTCAATAACAAATGTTAAGTATCACTGTTTGGCAAACAAATGCAAAACCACTCTTAAATTACTGGAAACACCAAACTGAAATCAAAGAAACAGTGAGTAGACTGGTGGTTGCTAGGGACAGGGCAGAAGGTGGGAGAGAAAATTGGGCGAAGGTCATCAAAGGGTACAAACTTGCAGTTACAGACGAATAAGTTCTGAGGATCTAACGTACAGTAGAGAAAAAAATTATTGGAAACACCCTTCAACACATGTAATGAGACATATAAAATCTTCCCAATAGAGAAAGTCAGTGGCTAAAGTCAGTACAACTAACAGCAGTAGGTAGTACAATAGCTATGGTCCGTTTATGGGACTATGCGAAGACTGTGAGGGCCTGGATTAGGCCTTTGTATTTAGTTTTTGGCAGCACATGACTGGTAGGTATCATCAGTCCACCTGGTCTTCCATCACTTCTGCTATGCAGGAAATTCGTAAGAACCAACACGATCACCAAAGCAAAAACTGGTTTACCTCAAACTGCACTCTTACTAGTTTCTACCCCTCTTAGGTTTGAGTTTCCAAAATCATTTACTGAATACCTGATTGTGCACTGTATTAAGCTGGTTGCTGAAGCTCATGGTTAGATTTGTGCTTGTATTTGGGGCAACGTGAGTAGTGAAGGGGCTCTTGATCTGACTCACTGTATCATACATGTGAACCCTCCGCTTGCAGATCTCCATGTTCTGAAAACAGGACTTAACACTGAAAAAAGAGATTAAAGATTCAGTAAAATGAATGCTGAGATTTAAACAGACAACAAAAAACTCAAGATGAATATGAATCAACATTTTTCCCCAAGTATATTTAGATAAAATGAATCCAGTTTTTATAACCATAAAGAGAAAAAGCATACATCTTATATTTAATCTCATGATTTTTTCAATGAGAAAGGAAAGCATCAGTGAGCCAAATATGAAAGTACCAAGGCTGCTGCTCATGCGACTGTTCTGTTTAGCTGTAACATGGTAACAACACCGGACCACATCATGGCAAATGCCCCAGACCATACTCACTGATTGCTATGTGGAAAATCCAGAAGGTGGGTCATTGTCACAAACTGATGGTTAAGAGTTTTCAGAGGAGTAATTCTCTTATCTGCATCGATTGTTAGCATTTTTTTTAACAAATCAATATATTCTCTTCGATCCGCCTTCTCTGCCAACATATCCGTTCCCTCCAAGTCTGTGGACATATTCACCTTCCAAGGAAAATTCAGAAATATTATACTTCATGACTTAACCTTTAATGTTGATACTAGGCATATGAATAATAGATAGATAACAGATCTCAAGAGAAAAACCTGAGGAAATTCTTTTTATTACAGAAAAATCATTTTTACAAGTGGAAACTCTTCTTATGCTGTCTAAATAAAATCTTCAATTTGGTAGAGTGTGTTGGTAGAATAAAGCTGAATGAGTCTTTTCATTCAAAATTTGGATGAACAAGTGAAAGCAATTATTATTACTTAAATATAAAAATTTCTATTGTTGAAAAGATTAAATGACATAATAAGTATAGCATTTAAGCAGAGTTTGGAACACAATATGCACTCAATTAATGTTAGCTCTTAAGTATTTATTTAGCAGAGAAAACGGACAGTAAAGAAATCTTCAAAATAATATTTCAGGGGCGCCTGGGTGGCTCAGTTGGTTAAGCGACTGCCTTCGGCTCAGGTCATGATCCTGGAGTCCCGGGATCGAGTCCCGCATCGGGCTCCCTGCTCAGCGGGGAGTCTGCTTCTCCCTCTGCCCCTCTTCCCTCTCATGCTCGCTATCTCTCATTCTCTCTCTCTCAAATAAATAAATAAAATCTTAAAAAAAAAATAATATTTCAAAATACTGACAGACAAAAAGACCAGTTAAGCAAAAGCAAGGGAGAAACACAAAATTCTAAAAGTATCCTTGGTTAGTATTCAAATGTTCTTTTAATACATGGCAGAATACTAATGAACTTTTATCTCTAAAAAATGAAAACATATTAGAAGATAACAGATTGAATCTATTTTTAATATAACTAATCAATGGAAATGTGTCTCTGATTAAGAGATATATAAATATCAGGCTTCCTGAAACCTTCTATACTCACCTGAGCCATGTCATCTAAACAATTAAAAATGTACTTTCGAGCTTCTTTTGATTTGATTCCAGTCTCCAATTCATGTTCTTCTGGTGTCTATAAAATACAGATTTAAAAAAAAAATTCCATCTGTATGTTATTTTCACGTTTTGTTCTAAATTAGAGCCAAAAATACAAAAAAACAAGTGTTGTCACCTTACCAATCAGAGATGGCAAACATGAAAGTAATTTACAACCAGAAAATCTTCTGGTGGATGGTCGGGACCTGGATATCTGACCACCCTTTTAATAGTGCTAAATTAAATGTGGAAACAGTGATGTAGCACAGTTCCTGAAGGATGTCATGTAAGAGGGGATATTACCATTTTTCTCTTAAAGCTACTTTCAAATGAAATGATATTTCAAATGCTAACTATTAAACAGGTTCAGGAGCAGAGATTCACAAGGTTACTCAAATTAGAGATCTCTCAAGTTAAAGGAGTAGGCTCAGAAGAAAAAGCAGGCATTTGTTTCATGAAAATATACAGGCCTTAACATGGGGAGTTAGAAACTTATGTTGTTTTCTCATATTTATTGAGAATTCTCTAAAAAACAGTCATATAGCTAAGTTACTCTAGTTCTTCCTGTGACTTAATGGTGAGCACTATTTTCCACACCCCCTTCTCAGCTGCTGGTTCAAATATACAAAATAACCTCAGACAACTGAATGGTGTTTAGTTTATTTTTTTAGCAAAGGATCATGTCAAAGGGGTACAATTAAATAATTTTTCCAAGTACTTCTTCCTGCAAACATACACTGCCACCACCACCACCCCCTTTCCCTCTTTTACCTCAAGAATTTAATAACTAAAAAGTTGGGAGTGAAAGTACAGGAATGGGTAGTATAGTAGGGGAGACAGACCTTAAGCCTCCACAGCGGATACCCCAAATTAGGATCTCTGTTGAAAAACCTGGTTGTTTTTGTCCCAGCACTGAGAAGATATTCGGCGGGCAGGCCTTGTGTTTGTGAAATGTAACGAATCTGAAACATCAAAACCATTAAAACATTGATTTGGAGTGGAAAGGGGAAATATTAAAATATTAATATTTTATTATTAAATATTAAAAACATTAAAAACTTTTACCCTAAGATATTATTAGTTCCAGCCAAATCAATACAAATGAAATTTATCTATAAATACATATAAATGCTAACCCACTCACAGGTAATTCCCAAATATTTATTCAGCTACTTCCATGTTACTGTATCTGTTATTTACAAGGAAAACTCAGTTTTGAAAACTTTGTGTGTAACCATTTTTGCTTCTTTGTAGACCTCTGATACAAAGTTCAGAGAACTTCGGGAGATTTTTAGGACAGAACAGAGTAATTTCCAACAAACTATCTCATGGATCACCAAGGATTTTTCTGTTTCACTTGCTGATACATTATCAAATTTAAAAGATCAGGAAAACATTTTTATAAGCTTCTTTCTTGCCTGGTTACTCTAGCTCCTTACTCTAAATTGCCATAGAGCTTTTCTCTCATACCATGAAATTAAATACTTAATTTAGTTTCTCTACCCCTGCACCACTAGGGGGCAGGCTCTGTGTTAATTCAATCAACATTTACTGAATTCCTACAATGAACCAAGCTAGCAGTTCTCAAAGTCTGGTCTAGGGACCCTTAGGGGTCCCCAAGATCCTTTCAGGGAGTCCACAAAGCAAAAACTTTTTATTTTTTAACTACTACTCAGAAGTTATCTGCCTTTTTCATTCCCTTATGGGTATACAGTAGAGATTTCCAGAGAGGATATGTGATGATGATGTCATTGCTCTGATGGCTAATGAAACACGTGCTTGTATATAGTTGTATATAGTTTTTAAAAATTTCCCAGTTTTATTAAGTTCAAGGTTTGCTTCCACAATTCCAATGATCCGTGCTCACTTCGGCAGCACATATACTAAAATTGGAACGATACAGAGAAGATTAGCATGGCCCCTGCACAAGGATGACACACAATTCTAATGATCCAAGAAAGCAAAAGAAGAGGTGATTTGCTTTTCTCTCCACTACTGAGAGTGATACAAGAGGCAATTTTTTTTTACCACCTCTTCCATATTTGAATGGCTGTACTTAAGATGAAATTAGAGAGAAACTTGTAAGCCAGGAAATAAATCTTACTTCCTACCTCTCCCCCTAAAAACTTCAGTTTTGATGTCTTTTTTTTTAAGTTACACTTTTTATTTTATTTTTTTTAAGATTTTATTTATTTACTTACTTATTTGAGAGGGAGAGTATGTGTATAAGCCGCAGTAGGGGCAGAGGGCGAGGGGGAGAGAGGAGAGAGAGAATCTCAAGCTGACTCAGTGCTAAGTGTGGAGCCTGAAGCAGGGCTCGATCTCATGACCCTGAGATGATGACCTGAGCCAAAATCAAGAGTACCATGCTTAAATGACAGCCACCCAGGTGTGCCCAGTTTTAATTTCTAATGCAGTATATACTAATAGATATAAGCTATACAAACAGAGCTCTTTGGGATCCTCACTGATTTTTTAACAGTGTAAAGCAGAGGTCAGCAAACTATGGCCTGTAGGCCAAATCTGGCCTGCTATCATGAGACAATTTCAGATAACAGCAGGATATTACTCTTGAATCTGTGGGAGCTACATAACGGAAGCCAATACAGCATGAACAAAAGAGAAAAAAAATGTAGATAAGAACTTTTTTTTTTTTAAAGATTTTATTTATTTATTTGAGAGAGAGAGAATGAGAGATAGAGAGCACGAGAGGGAGGAGGGTCAGAAGGAGAAACAGACTCCCCGCTGAGCAGGGAGCCCGATGCGGGACTCGATCCCGGGACTCCAGGATCATGACCTGAGCCGAAGGCAGTTGCTTAACCAACTGAGCCACCCAGGCGCCCCGATAAGAACATTTTTAATGTGAACTTCTTTTGTGTACAAAAATGGTGAAATATTTCTTAAAATCCAGAATAAAATTTGTGCAATAAAATACTAACCAGACATTTAAAACAATAGAGTAGAGGGGCACCTAGGTGGCTCAGTTAGGCATCTGACTCTTGATTTCGGCTCAGGTCGTGACCTCAGCGTCTTGAGATTAAGTCCCAGGTTGGGACTAGATGCACTAGGCATGGAGACTGCTTAAGATTCTCTCTCCCTATCCCTCTGCCCCTCCCCACCCTGTTTGCTCACACGTGCACACTCACACTCTCAAAATAAGTAAAATAAAGTGACAAAATAGAAGTATAGTTAATGACACATAAAGATATTTCACAATATACTAAGTAGAAAAGCAGATTACAAATTAAATAATCTCACTTTTAAAAAAATTACATTTCACTGATCCTAAGAGGCACATTTTTTCACACTAACATCTTTGAAATCAAGATATGTCCTACAACTGATAACTACATGGTTTAATTGGCAGCATCCTTTCTTACAGGTACAGAAAAATGGTGTATCTTTCAATCAATAGTGTCTTAAATATGACAAAATACAGTATATATCCTCCTCTATATCCCTAAGTTTATCATGTGGAATAGAACTATATATAGCACACATATTCATTCATTCTTTTAGTAAGTACTTATTGAGCCAGGCACTGGTGTTTTAAAAATAGACATGGTTCCTGCTCTCATAAACCTTGCAGTCAAGTGAGGAAGACAGACACTGAATATTCAAACTGAATTGGCATTCTGAAAAAAAGAAATAGGCTTTTATAAAAATACATAGCAAAGGAACCCGAGCTAGACTGGGGACTGGTAAGGGAAAGCTCCTTGAGAAAGTAACACTTGAGCTAATAAATGAGTAGGCACTGACTAGATGAAATGAATGGGTGGTACAGAAGCATTCCAAACTATGAGAACAGTATGTACAAGGGGCCTTTGCTGGAAGGAAGCATATTCTTAACCAGTGCTGAAATGATGCCAATGTGCTAGAGCATGAAAAGCAAGAAGAAATGGTGTAAGATCAATCTGGAGAGGGGGAGAAAAAGGGAAAGGACAACCTATGTAGGGACTCAGTGGCCATATTAAAAATTTAGCCCTTCATTCTAAAAGTATTAAAAAACCACTGAAAAGCAAGTAAGTAGCATGATCAAATTTGTGTTTTGTAAAAATTGTAAAAGAGCTGGAGATCTCGATATTATATAATTATTATATATTATGTATATAATTTATATATTATATATAAAAGTATTACATAATTATTTACTTAGTATCTGTTTCCCATCACCAAACTATAGTTTCCATGACGGTAAGTACAATGTTTTATGCAGCACTGTATCCCCAGCTCTTGATCTTGGGGTCATGAATTCAAGCCCTACAGTGGACACAGAGATTACTTAATAAAAAAGTAAATAAAAGAACCTTAAAAAAAGAAGAAAGAAAACTACTATAAAAAGAGCTCAAAAGGGTTGCAGAATAAAAGATCAATTACAAAACTCATTGTATTTCTATACATTATCAATGAACAATCTGAAAATAAAATTAAGAAAATAATTCCATTCACCACAGCATCAAAAAATAGAATACTTAGAAATGAATTTAATAAGAGAAATGTAAAACCTGTACTCTGAAAATTACAAAATGTTGCTAAAGAGAAAACCTAAAAAATTTGGTCACATTTATGGGATTGGAAGACAATATTCAATGCACTCAACTATTTAAACAAAACAACCAGTAATTATTTTGCAGAAAATTAAAAAAAAAAAAAACCCACCCTAAAAATCATATGGAATCTTAAGGGTCCTTGAATAGCCAAAACAATCTTGAAAAAGACCAAAGAGGACTCACACTTCCTGGTTTCAAAACTAACCATAACGCTACAGTAATCAAAACAGTGGGATACTTGCATAAAGATAGATATATAAATCAATGGAACAGAATTTACAGTCCACAAATAAATCACTGTATTTATGGTCAATTGATTTTTGATAAGGATGCTAAGAAAGGTAGGGAAAGAACGGTCTTAGAGCAAATGGTGTTGGAAAAACTGAATATCCGCATGCAAAATAATGAAATTGAACCCTTGCTTTATTCTATGTAGAAAAATCAACTTAAAATGGCTCAAAGACCTAACTGCAAGAGATAAAACTATAAAAATCTTAGAAGAAAACATAGGAGAAATGCTTCATGACTTCGGATTTGGTAATAATTTCTTGCATATGATACCACAAGTATAAGAAACAAAAGGAAAAACAAACAAATTGGACTTCATCAAAATTAAAAACTTTTGTGCAAACAATGCTATCAACACAGTGAAAAGGCAACCCCAAGGAATGCGAGAAAGTTTTTGCAAATTATGTACCTAATAAGGGATTAATAACCAGAATGTATAAACTCCTGTAACTCAACAACAAACAACCCAATTCAAAAATGGGCAATGGACTTGAACAGACTTCTCTAAAGACTGACTGACTTGTTTTGCAGGGGGGGGGTAGATTCATGTGTGCAGGGGGGAGGGGGAGAGGGAAAGGGAGAATCTTAAGCAGATTTCCCACTGAGCACAGAACCCGACTCGGGCTTGATCTCAGGACTTCAAGATCATGATCTGAGCCAAAATCAAGAGTCGGACACTCAACCGACTGAGCCACCCAGGCACCCCTTGAGTAGACTTTTCTAAAGAAGATATACAGATATCCAGTAAGCACATAAAACAATGCCCAACATCACTAATTGTTAGAGGACTGGAAATCAAAATCACAATGAGATTATCACTTCACATCCATAAGGATGGCGGCTATGTTTTAAAAAAAGAAGAAAAGTAAAAAAGAAAATAACTAATGTTGGCAAGGATGTAGAGAAATTGCAACTCTTATGTATTGCTGGTAGGAATGTAAAACAGTGTGACCGCTGTGAAAAAGTTTGTTTAAACATAAAATCACCATATGACCCAGCAATTCTACCTCTAGCTGTATACCCCCAAAAATTGAAAACAGGAACTTAAACACTTGTATGCCAATGTTCATAGCACCATTTTTCACAATAGCCAAAAGATAACTCAGTGTCCATCAACACGAATGGACAAACAAAATGTGGTATACATATATACAATGGAACATTATTCAGCCATAAAAAGTAATGACGTTCTGATATAGGTTACAGCATGGATGAGAAACATGCTAAGTAAAAGAAGCCCATCACAGAAAACCATACATTATTTTTTTTTTAAGATTTTATTTATTTATTTGACAGAAAGTGAGAGCAGGAGAGCACGAGCAGTGGAAGAGGCAGAGGGAGAGGGAGAAGCAGCCCCCCTGCCGAGCAGGGAACCCGATGCGGGGCTCCATCCCAGGACCCTGGGATCATGACCTGAGCCAAAGGCAGACGCTTAACGACTGAGCCACCCAGTTGCCCCAAAAACCACACATTGTATGTGATAAATATGATAAACTACAATAGGCAAATCTATAGAGAGAGAAAGTAGATTAGTGGTTGCCAGGGGTGGGGGAAGTCGGGGCTGGGGAGAATGGGCACTGACTGCTAATGAGGTACAGGGTTTCATTACAGAGAGATGAACATGTTTTAAAACTGACCATGGTGATGGTTTACAGCCCTGTGAACATACTAAAAATCATGGAGTTGTACACTTTAAATGGCTGAATTGTATGGTATATGAATTATATCTCAATATAAGTTGTTTTAAAGAAACTTGACTATAAGAACAGAGATCCTGCAACAGAAATCTTTGTGTATAACCAGAGATGCACCAAGATAACCTATCCCCAATCCTGCTCTACAACAGCAGTATCCTATTTATTCAGCATGGGAAAAACGATTTCCTCCTACCACCCACAGTTTCACATCTATGTACTAGGCAAAATTCTCTCAAAACTATCAGATCATTTATTTTAAAAAACCCCAGTTGTACCTTAGCTTCTAAACCTAATTTCATTTGTTTCCACTTCCTAGGGAAATTTACAATACCAATCTGTTTACAAAGGTTGAAGGTTGGCCTAGGAATGGCACTTGGGGGCCTGTAACTGCTCAGAGCAAGGTTTCTTAATTAGGGATCCATGAATCCCCTA